TATATATACTAATTCTCGTACTAGGGTAAGCATGTTAATTTGTCATTAAACCAGCAGGCACAACAGTAATAAATTACTTTTGCGTTCCAACGCAACAGTATTCTGAGGTAACACAAAATAAAATAATCCCTCCATGTCTCCTCACGGGCTCCTTATATTTAATTTTACTGTATTTTGTAAAAAAAAAATAGAAAAAATATCAGTTCGATTAATATTTTTAGTTTAGTCTACCACATACTAACAGCATACAGACATGCATCCAACAGTTGCTTTTAGCTGATTCACTTTCAGAAGAACAAGACAAGTTTGTGAATCTAAATATTATTGCAATAAAATGTTGAATTTTATCCAAAGGTCAGATCAAAACGAAACAAAATTTCAAGTTGTTTTTCAAGCAACTCCATTTTTCTCCCGCAGAGTGTAACATTTGCTTAGTTTGTTTCTGCCAAGAGCTGAGGGGAGCAGATTTACGATTTTCTGAACCATACAAAAGGTGCTGATGTAGCTGAGTCATCCTTTAAAGACCCCTGCTGGGGTCTCACATAGACTCAGCCCACTGTCTCCTCAGCATCAACCAGCTTGACTGTAACTGCACAGCATGGCTGAGAAGATAAACATCAACGGCTACTCAGGAAAGAACAAATGACACATGAAACTCTTTTTTTTTTTTCAAATCTTAGAATTATTTTTTTCTTTTTTTAAGTGTGAAATGACTGTGGCTGACAGATCATGTGCCTGCTAGATCTTAACGAACATTTTCTGGGAAGTGAGTAACAACACATTTTCCATTTCAGACAAAAAGCATCAAAAAGTTTTGCTACACAATCATTTTAAGCATCAAATGGAGAGGAAAATGACTGAAGTAAAAGCTTAGCATTCTTCAGAGGAATGCATATCGCCTCCTGGCTTTTAAGTCAGAGTTATTTTATGTTGGTAAATGATGGAAATGTACTTAAACCTTGAAAAAACGTGCAATATCTTCATGATATACAGTGAGTATGTATTGGGAATTACTTTATCACATCAAGGTTCAGCTCACAATTTCTAAACAATTGTTCAGTTTTCATCTTTTGTGTTTTTTTACAGTAAGTAGTTTGTGGCAGCCATTTTAAAACTGTACATCCAAACATTTGGGCTTCTACTTTTCATCTTTTTTCTGGACTTGGCAGAGATGCTTTTAAAAAAAAGAAGAAAAAGACTGTTTTGTTTATCTTTACTTTTGCACCAGACCAAGTATTAAAAATAATGTGAGCATTTGGGAATCAGTGTAACAGTATTGTAAGAGCAGATCTCAGAGACGAGGCTTTCATGTCACTGGCGTAGTCTTTTAGGATTAAATGTCAAAAAATGCTTTGATGTCGGCTCATTCTTCCCATTTCAAAGATGGGATACTCGCACATTCCAGTACAGATGTGCTGCATGTGAAAGTACCCACACTGCCCCACAGAGCAGTGGGGAACACCCGAAGGATACAGAAAAAAGTTGTTTGATATTGAAGATGGATTAAAAAAAGAAGGATTTGCAGTGTTCTTTCTGCACATTTCATAACAAGGACACTGGGAACAGAAGGTGACAACAAAAACTGGGTTTGAAAAAAAAACTGAAGACAATAAGAAGAGGAGAGAAGATGGAGCTTTTAATCCCTGGGGGGAAAACAAGGCAGCAAAGAAATGTTGGGCTATAGGCGGACTTCCCCTCGAGTCCCGTATTTTGGGATTTACTCATAAGCACGTCACATTTAGAAGTCAGAGGCTCTGAGGGGCCCGGCTCCACCATGTTAAATGCCACCGACTTGTTCTCAGCCACAAACCCTCGTGTCACTCTGCACTAGATTGAGTCGCTGACAGAGATGGATGAGAGAAGGAAGAGGGGCATTAAGAGGAGTCAGTGAATAGGAAAATGCAGCAATCTGACCAAAATTTACACTGCAGCTGTGCCACAAAGTAATCTCCTGAGATGTCAGGGTCGAAATGCAAGAAAATTTGCACAATTTATTTCATTATCGCCTGCCATCAAAAGGCAGCAGCCAGGCAATATTGGTTGTGTCTGCGTCTGTGTGCCTGTGCTTGTTTCTCTGTCTGTTAGCAAAATATCTCACAAACTAGTGGCTGGATTTTAATGGAGCCATGAGAAAGTAATTGTTGAATAAATGTCTACAGCTGATTACATTTTGGAGTCAAGCAAATTCAAAACAGCTGCCAAGGTTAATCAACTTTAACAAATGCAAAAAGTTGCCGTAACTCAGGCAGTTTTGCAAATATTGAGCTAAAATTTGTTTTGATAATAGTTTATAGTTATTCCCAACACATAGTAAGATTTGAGCAAAAAGCGTTGCAGCTCTGTCAATTCTCAACAGACTTTGTTTGGTATGAAAGGCAGTGGGTGGATATGTATTCCTCTATGTCAACCTATTTTCCTCAAAGCCCCCCTTTCTTACTTCCCACCCCTGCCCCATCCCTTGCTATTCCCCACCTCTCCCAAAGACACATTCAATCTTTCTCTCTTTATTAAAATAATAAAATAAGTTTTATTTGGAAAAGGGGAAAGAAGAACTGAGATATATAGAGTATTAGTTAGATGGACTTGTTTTGGTGATTTTTCACAACCTCTGAGCAAACAAGGTTATGGGCCCCACCTGTGCTCTCTGGTGCCCCCCACCCCCCAGGTTGGAAACCACAGCTCTGAGTCATTATAGGCCTTTATTATTTTTCTATTTGTTTAAAGACATTGAAGTAGCCTTTGTTCGGGAATCACAGACTATTTTTAACATGTTTTACTTTCTTTTCCAGTAAACGGGGGATGGTCCACGTGGACAGAGTGGTCTGTGTGTAACAGCCGTTGTGGCCGTGGTTACCAGAAGCGCACCCGCAGCTGCACCAACCCAGCGCCGCTCAACGGCGGCGCCATCTGTGAAGGTCAAGGCATCCAGAAGCTGCCATGTAATCCTCTCTGCCCAGGTAGGGTGCTAAGAAAATTCGACTTCCCCCTCCAGTTTATTAGCGGGTGGAAATGGTTCAGGTGCACAAAACACTGATTGCATAAAATGTAATGCAACTGCGTGTTTGCTTATTTCATTCATGTCTGTGCCCACATGCTTACATGTGTCACTCTCCCACCTGTTCTTGCTGTTCCAACAACCACTCACGAGCTCAACCGTCCTCATCTTCTCATTCCTCCCCTGTCTCCTTCACTTCCACCCATGTGTGTGTGTGTGTGTCCTGTCTGTTGTGTGATTAGTGGATGGCCTGTGGACAGAGTGGAGTAAGTGGTCCACCTGTGGGACAGAGTGCACCCACTGGAGGAGGAGAGAATGCAACGCTCCGGCACCCAAAAACGGGGGGAAGGACTGTGAGGGCATGGTGCTCCAGTCAAAGAACTGCACGGATGGGCTGTGCATGCAGAGTGAGTACCCCACTAATCCTGTGCTCCTCTCTCTGACCTGCCAACAGAAGGAATTTCCTCACCCTTGACCGGAAATTTCCCTTCGCTCTTTCATCACCATGTGTTTTAACACTCCCCACCCTGTCTGTCGCTCAGGTTGTTCCACTTCGCTCATGCAAAAATAGGAAGTGAGGCTAAAAAGCCGCTTTTGATCTGTCTCACTTTACTTTCTCATGTAAAACAAACACTCTTAATGACATACTTGGTTACATACAATCTCTTACATAACTAAATGTTTCCTCGTGTTGTTCTTACTAATTACCCTTGTTACACCCACATTTCTGATTGGAGCACAGATACGAAGAAAAACATTGAGAGACTGAGCATGGTTCTGTGGAAAAGTTATGAACAATTAATATCTTACCTGTTGTAGATGGCTTTTGGATCTGTGTCAATTTATAGATGTTGAGCCGATTTAAAGGTTTGTTATGCTAAAATGTTTTAGGCAACTCCTGCCAACTTTGAAGATAAAATTAAAGAAATCTACTGGTAGCTTTAGTTAGAAGTATACTTGCAGCAATGTTATCAGTTGTATTGATTGTATATACATATATAACCTATATGTGTAATCACAACAAAACTTTCATAAATCTGCACGTTATCTAAAACATTTTAGTGTGACAGGGTCTTGACTGGTTTTATGAGTTAATGGCTAATCTGAGATCAAACTGGGTTTCTGCTAAGACCTCCAAACTCAAGAATATCACTTGGTTCATGTGAACATGAGTTTTAAACCTGTTTATCGCAGTCAGTTTGCTTTTTGTAGGTATTTTCCAGTGGTGGGCACAGCTAACCAAAATATTAGCTTTTTTGAACTCCTTAATCACTACACAAATTATCTAATTCCACTATCAAAATAAGCTGAAAGCTAAATTGATAATATGGCAGAAGCTAAAGCTAAATCCCACCCAAAACAAATGAGTAAGTCCTCTGAACAGTTCCTCCTGCTCAGATATTTTATGTTTTAGATTTTTCTACCTGGATTAATGGGATGGATCTAAAGACTAAAGATAAATCAATCATATTTAACATATTAAAAGTGAGCGTAATGTGCTTTGATATTGTCTTTGAACATAGCACTCCTTTTGTTTAGTTCCACTCTCTGTTCTTCTGCCTCAGACCTCCAGGTAACATTTTCAGTCAATAACTAAACTTCAGCACAAATCAACCAAACATAAACATGTAATGTGACAAACATAAGTCAGCACAACTCAAAACCCTTCATAGATCACAGATAAAAATGTTTGTCTCTTTTAGAGGTAAAATTTGAGAAGTTATAATCTAAATCACAGTGCAAAGCATGCTGGGTAATGACTACCATGTGTTATGATAAAGCCCTGAAGCACAGCTACAGCTGACAAACAGCGAAGCAGACGTGGGAGGAAGAAAAGGTGAAAAAATAAGTCACAGCCTGTGAAATCATGTTTCTGCTGATTTAGATTTTATTTCTGCACTATTAACACATTATTATTACACAATACACAGCTCCAGATGCTTTGATGTACGTGTGGAGTTTTTTACCACATTGTTAAGTTGTCGCAGGTATTTAAAACATTGAATTTCATCTATAATAGTGATTTTTTTCCCTTTTTTTTTCTCCTGCTGCTTTTTAACAAGAGGAGGAGAATAACAGTGGAGACACACACAGCCCTGCGACTGAGTCAAACTCTGTCTGGTTTAATAAAATTCCTTCTCCAATAAACATTTTTTTTGGAGCTGTTAAACCCAATCACTGTCACATGTGCCTTCAGCATGTGTAAAACTTGTTACAGATGGTGATTGTGACACTAATTGTTTAACAGAGGCTCAGCTGCTGGATGTCTTAAATTTGATAGAGCTGGCAACTGCAGTGAGCAGCTGATCAGAGCTCGAGCTGTAAACAGCTTCTCCTTGTGTCGGTGCACCGTGGTAAGAGTTTAGAGTAGGAGTTTACATCCTCTGGGTGATCATAATAAATCTTTGGATGGCCCGGTAGATTAAATTTATGTATTTGTAGAGTACATAAATGTGAGTACATTTCATAAAAGACAAAAAATAATAATAATAACAACTTTGAGAGTCAGAGGTGATTCGATATTTATAAGTTGCTGTTAGAAGGATGCATTAGCTGCTTTTGTGTGTCTAGCAGTGAATAAAAACAGGCAAAAATCTATACGAAGGCTGGGAAAAGACTTGACTGATTCCTCTGAGTATTTTCTTTCTCCATGCAGAACAACATATGTTCACCCCGCTCCTGCTTGCCCTTGTTCTCACCCTTTCAGCCAAGAGCATTCTAAGTTCTTGGCGGACTGATGGCGAGTTTGCCGAGAATATAAAGCCATAACGATATGGATTTAGGATCATTTCAGAGATTGATTTTTTTTGGAAGCTAAGAGGGTGAAGCCACTTATGTCAATGCTAATGACCATTTCCACGAGCATTTAGAAGAACGGCCCCATTATCTAAAAGCTCATGTTATGGCAAATATGATTGGGAATGGGAGTTGTGTGCAATCCGAACTCACCTCGGACTGCTGATGTGCTCCCTGCAGTGCAGGCCTGGAATCTGAGCAAACGTGCGTCCGTGGATTCCGTTGCAGCTTGATCTTATTTTCCGTTGTTTGAATTTATTTAAATCCTTTCAATTGCAATCCATCACAGAACTCTGCCGAAGGAACCCGATACAACCGCAGCTCGAAATAGAACTTATAGCATCCAAAGCTCTTTGCTGTAGAAACACAACTGACTCGAGTCAAAAAGGAAAAAAAGAGAGATGTCATAATTTACTTGCTTGCTTGTTTATTGCATTTAGGCTGTCAGGAAGCTTTAAATATTGGATTTAACAATGTTAAAAGTCTTTAAATTGATCTAAAAAGCTTGCACTTTGTTCAGAGACCTTCTAAATTCTGAATTGTAGTTTCTACACTTCACTAAGGCTGTTTGGCGCTCACACTGTGGTCCATCTTTTTTTTTCCCAATTCGGATGTTGTTTGCCAAGCTTTTGGTAACCCTACTCTCAGACATGACATTTTCTTGACTTATTGATCCAGAAAGAAAAGGGGAACACCGGCACCGGCGAGGGCTTTATTGCTGTGAGACAAGAACGGACGATCGTGGCTCTAAGCTCCATTCCTTGTTATTTGCCGTGGTTAAAAGGTCTCAATAAAATTGTCTTATGATCTTCAATTTCCATTCTCAAAGACTCCACAGCGAGGCTAAAATTAACTTTTAACGGTGCTGATGATATCAGCTTTGCTGGATAAAGGTCCAAAGTATTTCCCAAAGATTGAACACCTGTCAAGCCAAAGGAGTGATGATTAAAGCAGAGACATTGATTTCCTGTTCTATGATCCTGACTTCCTTCCCGGTTCTATGATGTCAGTAAAAAAAAAAAGCTCTTGCTTTGCGTGGAGCTGGGAGTCTTTCTTTGGAGCCCACCCACTGAAGCGAGCTCTTACAGTCAGGATGCGTAGAAACTCAACGGGACGGGTTCGGAAGGGACATCAGTTAGACCGGCCCTTACTGTCACCTCCCCCTTACTCCAACCCTGCATCCCCAGTGCCTGATTGCATGCACCGACCTCATCCATCAAGCCATCGATTTATCTGTCAGTCCACTAGTCTTCCTGTGGCACTCTCCCTTTCCAATAAGGATTTCATTGTTTGTTTAGTTGTTTATAAATGTCCCAGGGAGAGTGAATATTGTGTGTGCTTCTGCGCCAAACCCCCCCCCCCCCCACCACCACCAATCCCAGCTGGGCCCGAAAACCCCTTCTCCATCAAAGATTTCCCGAATCTCCAAATCACACGTCTTCAATTTTTCTAATCGCTGTCCTTCAGCTTCCTCCTCCCTCTGCCTTCCTAACATTATCATCACTTTCATCTCGTGCACTAACCTCTCCATCCACCTCGCAGTGACAGATGCGAGGCTGGAGGTTCTATTGACTCTGCTGGAGCTCACACTTTATCAGCTCCTCCATTCCGCTCACCTGCCAGCATCCGTCCTGCCGCCGCCGAGGCACTAAGCCCACTTGATGGATTGCGTCGTTCCCTTACAGAACCTCCGTGCCCACCCCCCCACCCCGCTCTCCCACCCGTATTTTTCTCATCCATCTCTATACACCACACGCAGATACGGGGAGGGGGGGGGGGCAAATCAAGAAGGATCACTTCCTTGAGTCATCACTCTCGCTCACGAGTTTGTACCAGTCTCATTTGTTGAGTTTGTTTTTCTGTTGGAAATTTGATTTTCATCATCCCTCTTCCTTCACCTCTCCTGCCCTCTTCCCCCATCATCTTCCTGCTTCTTTTCTTTTCTTTTTTTTTTTCTAATTTTTTTCCTCTCAAGGTTCCTTGTTTCAGCAGTCCTCTGAGGCAAACATCAAGAGTGATTTTGGAAATTCATGTGAGTTATTGTTTATTTTCATCATTTCAGTTATATTATTTCTGTTGTCATTCTTGTATGTGTGTTTTGTTTTTGACCTTTGTTTTAGCCATCTAAATATACATGTACAATTACAGCCCTAAAAATGTAGCAGAAAACTGGTAGAAAACAGCTAATTTTACATATTGGGATTTTTCACTAAAATCATAAAATACAAAAAGCATATTTTCCCTTATTTTATTATTGTTATGCCACTGTGCTTCTTATAAACATATTTTCACTCAGTTATCTGTGTTTTTTTACCATTTATAAAACATTTTTTTGTTAATTTCCAACTAAAAGTTGTCACTGCTATTGATTTTCTTATGAACTCCTGCTTAACTACAATTAACTAAAAATGCCTTTTATACTTTATGCAATGCAGTTTTATTAATTTGCAAAATATAAAAATGCAGCGAAATAGGAAAAAAATATGATCAAAAAAGGTAACCACTGAATAAATAATTGACTAACATTTGGAGTCAACCCAACTCAACAAAACCATACAGTATATTTAAGTTTATGGCAAACGCAAACATGATTTTAACTCATTCAATTCAACAGATATGGAGCTAAACTTTAGTGTGGTAGTTGCTGAGGCTAGTCTCCAACACATACTCCAAGCTCTAACAGATTGTGTAAGATTTTACTTTAAAACGTTGCCATTACCTGCTGGAGTCAAATCATGAACTGCATCTAATAAAACTTACAGAAGGTAATCACTGGATGTACAACTCTTTGCCTTTTATGGTTAATTTAGCTTATGATGGCCACCACAGCTAATCAACCATAGCAAACAAAAAATGGCTTTATTTGACAGATATTAAGCTAAAATTTAATGTGGTAGTTGCTGAGAGTCTTTCACAAAACAGACTGATGACGATGATGAGATCTCACCATACTTCCCATGTTCCTGCCTGATATTATTCTCACGGTTTGACTAAAATATTGTGAACCTAAGCATGGAAAAAATGCTAGCTTTTTATTTTAACAGCTTTTTTATATTAAATCTTTTAAGACACACTTGCATGCATTGCAAGTCTTTTTTTCCTGCTCAGCACACTAACAGAAAATAACTAAAGATGCACAAACCTTCTGTTGTTTTTTGTAAGCACAAACGCTAGTTGCATATTTCCGATTAAGGTCAAGTTGCAGAATAACTTGAGGTTAAATACCTCACCTCCCCTATAAAAAATGCAACAGCTGTGTTCTACAGATCTATGGCTCTTTCATCTTTTCTGCACAACGCTGTAGACTGAGTTATCCTCTGACATCGTGTCTCTCTCTCCGTCAGTAAATCTCCCGGTCCTCACAGAAAATAGAGTGTTTAATAATCCATTTCATTTCCACTCCTTGTATTTTGCGGTTTCTGACAATAGCTCATGTTCAAAGGGACGTATTAATCTAAGTGATACATTTTAATGCGTACACTTAGCAGGTTGCTGCATTTATCATCAAAGCGTGGATGGAAGATTGTTCGACTGAGGGGGATATATGTTAAGTAACTGCGGGGAGGCTCAGCAAGGGGAGCAGAGTGAAATTACATTTTTAGACCTTCATCACCAGCTGCCTGCTCTGTTTTCTGTCTGTGTCGCTGCTAGAGGAGAGATTAGAGGTCTAACGTATATTTGGATGCGTCTTAAATATGACGTTGCAGGCAGAGCTGAGGAGGGATGGCTAGGCAACATAAAGACTGAGAAATAAAGCCAATAATTACAGGCATACAGAAACGCTTAGAGCCAGAACAGAGTCATATTTACTGCACGTAAACAGGAATGAAGGTTGAACTAAATTTGAGTTTGGCTTCTTTAAGGGCAGGAATTTTAATTGCTTTAAGAGTGACAAGACAACAAATGCTTCTCTCTTTAAGTTTAGATCTTGTTTTTAAATTAAAGGCCAATCATTTATTTAAGGGGTAATATTATGTGTTTCTCAGGCATACATTTAAATACTATACCATAATAAAGTATGTCACCTTGAGCTGTTATTAAAATGCAGTTTTTATGTTTAAATAGAAAATAAACTTATCTTCTCATCACTTCCTCTTCTAAACGCCTTGAAATTGGCCTCTGTCTCTTTAAGAACCACCTTCGCTTCTGTCTTGCCCATTTCGGTGCGGGGATGGGGGTGGGGCTGCTGAGATGATGCAGTTTACTTGGCATCTGAAAAGACATTTCCTCAAAGGTATTTTGAATCTGAAAATAGCTTCACTGAGCAGACAGTTAGGTTTCACTTTCACTTTCACCCAAGAGCCTGCAGGAGTCATGGACGGGGTGTGTGGGGAGTGGGGAGGGGTGTGAGCTCTGCCATGAGGAAGTTCGGCTTAAAGACACATCCCAGAGGCGTTTCTGGTCCTCAAAGGCGTTTCTGGTCCCCACCTGTCGTTTTGCTCCTCAGCATGACTTCCTAAAAACACTGCAAGATTTCTCAAACATGCATAAATGAGTCAAAGCAAGACTTTGGGCATGTTTTTATGAGAGTATAACATTATAACATGATATAAAACTCAAAAAAGTTGATTTTACATGATATTGCCCCTTAAAATGCATATAACCATGACTTTTGGTCAAATTTTGAAAATGAATTCATGCACAGTTGAGGGATTTGCTGGCGCTCATGACTCAAATACTACCACACAAAATTTTAGCTTAGTATTCATGAAACCGACTGACTTGTAGCCGTTCCTGTTTGCTAGGACCAAGTGGCTGTGGCAGCCATCTTGAGCCGGGTGAACTCCAAACAATAGTCAGTTGTAGATATACAGCCAATGATTTATTAACAAAATCACTTTTTTATTAAAAAGTAAGCCCAAAAAACAGAAAAAAAAACAGATTCTGGAGAGCAAAGAATGTGATTGCAAAAGTTGTTTCACATGCTCATGTTTTTTGTTCTGTTTAATGCTCCTTAGTATTAAAAAAAACAAGAGACCCACAAGTCATATCCCTGAGACACATCATGCTACTTTATACAAACCCTCCACGGTCATGCGTTTTCAAAATACTGTTTTTAGATTTATGGGTGACACTGCCATCTGCTGCAGATTCGGTGCATTTTACATGAATCCTCATCTTAAAAGCAAGAACATCTTCCTCATTAAATTGCCTTTGTTCTCCCATACATTTACATGCTTTGGTCTTTGACTTTTCGAACAAGCTGTGGACATGTACAGTTCCCAGAGACGTGTCAAACAATCTGCAGACACGTGGTCCCACAAGCCCACAAGCATTTTATTACTTCTAAAGAAGTGCCTGTCTTCCCCATTTGTCAATGTCTGACACTGAAGGACATTCTTCACCAAATGCCACAGAATGCAGGCTGTCAGTCAGCAGCCAATAGGAGGCCAGATCTGTAACAAGCGCCTGTCCGTGTTTTCAGCAGCCCTCGTGTATTCAACGCCAGCCCAGCTAATCACAGAGGTTTCTCCAGCTGGAAAGTGGACAGAGAGACTCTGGGAGGCAGACAGAAATGAAAGGCAATTTGAGAAATTCAAGCTATGTCTAGATCTTATCTGCAGCATGTAAGAACAAAGTCAGAGACAGACTCTGAACTCCAGCATGAGCATGGTAATTTGAAGATGAAATCCCCCCGCATCTACGTCTGCAAAACTTTTGATCTCGCTTCTGAGCCGAGATCGGCGTGTCTCAGAGCAGCCGTGTTTAATAATCACGTTGTTTCTCCAGACTTTATCTTCATTATCTTTAATTTCTTGTTAATTATCTTATTTACATGGCCCTGTTTACAGCTTCCTCTCTAATAACAACAGCAGCGAGCCTTCTTTCTTGGCTCTGGCCACCAAGACACAAGCAGGCAGACTTTGTTCTCACTTGGAGGTGTTTGTGAGGCTTTTGTTGTATTTTTAACTGGGACATTAGTTTGCAAATCTGAGAAATGAAACAAACCTGATGTCTTGTATTGCATGTGCCATGATGTTTCCTTGTCTAAGACATTTAGGAGTGTTCATTAAAAGTAAAGAAAAAAATGTGCAATTGTGCAAAATGCAAATTGTGCATTTATATCCCTGTATGATGGTTGTTAATATCCGGCTCTGTCATAAAGCAGGATATTAGTCTGCTGATAATGTCTTCATCACAACTCCTGCATAATGAAAGAGAAAGCCCCATCCTGTTGATGCAAACTTATGAGATCTAAAAAGGCACAACTCTCCTCTGTTTCTTTGTCTCCTTCCTCACCCCTCCTCCAGTGGCCCCCAGCACCGACGACGTCGCTCTCTATGTGGGTATTGTCATAGCCGTGATCATGTGCCTGGTGATCTCTGTCGTGGTGGCGCTCTTCGTCTACAGGAAGAACCACCGCGAGTTCAGCTCCGACATTATCGACTCCTCCGCCCTCAACGGAGGCTTCCAACCTGTCAGCATCAAGACCGCCCGTAAAGGTGGGTCAAAGGAGAGATATGATTTGTGTGGGTGGTTGTCTTTCTCTGCAATCATTAAACAGAAGTATATCTGATACAACTTAGTGGTCATTTTGACATATTTAAACAAGAGCATGTGACTGGTACATTATGCACAAAGGAATACTTGAGCACTAATGTGCATTGTTAGTTATGAATAACTTGTAAAATTCTTTGTTAAATTTTTAAGAAAAAACTTTAGCCCCAATTTTTTGTTTCCCTTTCCCAGTGAAATACCTGGACTTTGACTTGAACATCACATGAAGCACATCACAAAGCCATTTCTTGCTTCATTGGCAGGTGTGCTGTCAGTCTTTTATTAATAACAAGGTCCACCTGCAGTTTAATTGAAACTTTTGTCTGGTTTAAGTAGCCGTTTCAGAATGGATCAAAGAACTTACACTCAAACAGTTCAAAGTATTAGTTTCCGTCAGTGATACGTTGATCACATTATCCTGAAGCACTTTTTGATATGATCTAGAATTCTGTCTGTAAAATAATTCCAAACCATAACATTTTCACCACCAGATTTTTTTTCTCACTAAATATTATGTGGATAAAACTCACTTAATTTTGATTTACTTCTGCAGAGCACTGCTCAAAATTACCTGACCTTCCACCAAATGTAAATCAGCAAACCAAAGTTGGTATCAAACTGGGACTAGCTGCCAACTTGAACTTTTTGTAACTTTTTAAGGGAACAAAATGGAAGTTTTCAGTTGCAGTTTCACTGAATTTTGAGTGTTTGCACCCGAGTGGCCAGCCAGCCATGCAGACGTATTTATGTTTGTATGCGCTGCCTGCAAAAGGGTGTTCTAAGCTGGGCCGACCTTGGCCCACTTTGTACCCACCTTGGCAGCCGCTGACTTTTAGTCCTGAACATGTTATTTATTTATTTATTTATTTATTTATTCATTCATTTATTCATTCATTCATTCATTCATTCATTGGCCTAAGGAAAGCTCCCATGCAAGTGTCAAATTACAGCTCTTGCAATCATGAGACGGGTCAAAGACACTTCCATGAAGGAGAATGTCGAGAGACTTTCAGGAGACTCTCTTGTGAATGCTGTTTGCAAACAATCCCAGCCCAGTGTCAAACTTACTTAACGATGTATTCCTGATCGTAAACTCATGCACCAAGTGCTGCAAAATTCACCGGCAGATCAAACTGATTTTGGGATGAATCTTTGGGGACAGCCAGCCATGAAACAAACTGGTATATTAGGGATGTAAATCAGCAGCTTTATGACAAGATGATGTATTGATTTGTTTGGATGACGATACGTTTTTTCCATATCACAAAGTATGTCATGATTTGATTTCAGTTCAATCCACAAGTTTGTGATCAATATCAATCCACATCAGGTATGATGATGATGATGATGATATGGATCAATGTTTGTGTTTTGCCTCAATGTAATTGAATCATTTAATCAATACATCGATGTGGATCAATTTATTGTTACACCCTTAGTTTATATGTACCGTTTCTACCGCCACTTGTCAGTAATTCATTTTGCAATCAAATATTTATCTAAAACTTTTTGGTGATCCTGCATGGAGCTCTGACAGATTTTAGGACCCTTATTGAAGGATAGGAGGGCACTTTATATTTTGGCTTGCACACTTCAGCAACAACAACGAAAGAACACCAGAAATAACCTTTATTGGAATAAAACAGAACAACTTACTCTTCCTACATGAATAAGTCCAAATAACTTGTGAGGCATTTGGAGTTGCTTACATTAACAGCCCATAACAATCACCTGTTGAGGTTCGTTTGACTCAGCTGCTCTGGCAGCGAATGTGTTGGCGATGATGTGGATGTAAATGTGCTCTTTTGACAGTAGATGAGTGTGAAGCTCGTGAGAGAGCAGCAGGCAGCGTGTTTATGTAAGGGACACAGTAAAACGGTTCAAATGCTGATCATAAAGGCATAATCAGGCCAGTTCCTATGTTGCATAACACTCTGTATAATTAGGTGTGAGCATGTGATGCTGGATTGAAAAGATGAAGCAGAAAAACAAGAAGAATAGACTAATCAGGGGAAATGTGTTGTAAATTTTTAATATGATGTTTTAGGAGGAGATAAAATGCAAACTTTAAAAATAACATAAATGTGGAGGACAGCAAGGACAGAAATGAAAGATTTTAAATGCATCATCTCAATAAACTTTTTTTACGGGCAGCAAGCTTTTTGTTTACAGAAATCACCCACAATTTGTTTTGCAAAGCATATGGATGTTTTGTATGATGCAACACATTTTAATATTCAAATTAGTATATGTTTTTTTCCACTAAATGTCAGGGCTTCAGAATTCCCTTCCAAATGCATCGCATCAATCTTTACTGTCTGGCTGAGGTTCGGAATTGACTTTAGGATTTTACTGCTTGTCTTTTAAAACTGGAGTGGTCTGTCTCCTGCCAATATCTGCAATCTCTTAACCCCCAATGAGCCTTATGGAAGCTTGAGATCCTCTGCAAAAGTCCTTCTAAAAGCTCAAGCTGTCAGTAAAAAATGACCGGGCCTTTTGTGTCTGAGTCCTTCGGCTTAAACGCTCTTCCTTGTCGTGCATTCAGACTGACTACTTTAAATGTTTTCTGAGTACCAACTTTTGTTTTATAACATTTTCCAATTATCAATTGAGTTAATGCATCTTTACCATTTCTGCTATTAATTGAGTATTTTGTTTATGTTATGATAAACAGCACAAAATGTAAAGAGATTTATGTTTGGTAGATTGTTTCTTTGTTGTAACAATGCTTCTTGGCAATAAATCTTATACTGTTGGGAAGTTAATTTCTTTTTGAAATAGCGCCACATTTGTAAGGAACATGCATTTGTGGGTAGAGCAGTAGAGACGAGTGTGTGGGTTGCGCACGTGGAAAATTAGCCAAATAGTTTCTAGTAAACCACTTATTTTGTTGTTGCTATTGACTCTTGTTTTGAGCTTTTGGTTCCCCAGGTGCTGCCAGTCGTGCCTGGTATAAGATTTATTTTCAAGAAGTATTGTAACAACAAAGAAATAATCTACCAAACACAAATATCCTGACTTTTTGTGCTAAGTACGGATTTCTTAAAACATGCTTTTAAACATTGCACCTCTATATTGCATGGTTCAGTTAAACTTAGCTGCAAAAATAGTCTTCCTTTAAACTATAATTTTCCATGTTTTAAAATCTGGTTAAATTGATTTGCTGTGCTGCAGCTCAAGCATACATGTGTAGGAAGTGTGGAAAAAAAGACATATTGTCTGCCTTTGTAAATACAGAATGAGTTAAATTAATAAATGGGGCCCACTTCATAAATAATGTGTTTTAAACTTTAAATTTTTGGTAAAATACAGTGGTTTGCAAAAGTATTCATACCCCTTGAACTTTTCCATATTTTGTCACATTACAACCACAAACATAAATATATTTCACTGGAATTTAATGTGAAAGACCAACACAAAGTGGTATACAATTGTGAAGTGGAAGCAAAATTTTACATGAATCAAAACATTTTTTACAAATAAAAAACTGATAAGTGCGATGTGCAAAATTATTCAGCCCCCCTGAGTCAATACTTTGTGGAGTCACRTTTTGCTGCAATTACAGCTGCAAGTCTTTTAGGGTATGTCTCCACCAGCTTTGCACATCTAGTGACTGCAATTCTTGCCCATTCCTCCTTGCAAAACAGCTCAAGCTCAGTCAGATTGGATGGAGAGCGTTTGTGAACAGCAGTTTTGAGATCTTGCCACAAATTCTCAATTGGGTTTAGGTCTGGACTTTGACTGGGCCATTCTAACACATGAATATTCTTTTTTTTAAACCACTCCATTGTAGCTTTGGCTTTATGTTTAGGGTCGTTGTCCTGCTGGAAGGTGAACCTCCGCCCCAGTCTCAAATCTTTTGCTGACTCCAACAGGTTTTCTTCCAAGATTGCCCTGTATTTGGCTCCATCCATCTTCCCATCAACTTTGACCAACTTCCCGGTCCCTGCTGAAGAGAAGCACCCCCAGAGCATGATGCTGCCACCACCATATTTGACAGTGGGGATGGTGTTTTCAGAGTGATGTGCAGTGTTCTTTCTCCGCCACACATAGCGTTTTGCATTGTGGCCAAAAAGTTCAATTTTGGTCTCGTCTGACCAAAGCACCTTCTTCCACATGTTTGCTGTGTCCTCAACATGGCTTCTGGCAAACTGCAAACGGGACTTCTTATGGTTTTCTTTTAACAATGGCTTTCTCCTTGCCACTCTTCCATAAAGACCACATTTGTGTAGTGCACGACTAATTGTTGTCCTGTGGACAGTTTCCCCCACCTGAGCTGTGGCTCTCTGCATTTCTTCCAGAGTCACCATGGGCCTCTTGGCTGCCTCTCTGATCAGTGATCTCCTTGTTCGGCCTGTAAGTTTAGGTGGACGGCCTTGTCTTGGCAGGTTTACTGTGGTGCCATACTCTTTCCATTTCCGGATGATGGATTGAACAGTGCTCCGTGAGATGTTCAAAGCTTGGGAAATCTTTTTATAACCTAAGCCTGCTTTAAACTTCTCCAAAACCATATTCCTAACCTGTCTGGTGTGTTCTTTGGACTTCATGATGCTGTTTGCTCCCCAATATTCTCTTAACCAACATCTGAGGCCGTCACGGAGCAGCTGTATTTGTACTGAGATTAGATTACACACAGGTGGACCCTTTTGAGTCATTAGCAGTCATCAGGCAACTTCTGAATGCAATTGGTTGCGCTCAGGGAAAAGGGGGCTGAATACTTTTGCACGTCGCACTTTTCAGTTTTTTATTTGTAAAAAATGTTTTGATTCATGTAGAATTTTGCTTCCACTTCACAATTGTATACCACTTTGTGTTGGTCTTTCACATTAAATTCCAGTGAAATATATTTATGTTTGTGGTTGTAATGTGACAAAATATGGAAAAGTTCAAGGGGTATGAATACTTTTGCAAACCACTGTATCAAGTCTTTTCAAGTAAACAGGTTCAAGTTCCAAGTCATTGGTGTAAAAGTCCAAGTCAAGTCAGAAGTCTTTGAGCATTTTTTCAAGTCAAGTCTAAAGTCAGAATATCAATGACTCAAATCTGACTTGGGTCCAATCATGTGACTCGAGTCCTCGTCTCTGTTAATAAATACTTTTGTTTGTTTTTGTTTTTCCAGCTGATCTCCTAACATCACCCCCTGATCTAACCTCAGCAGCCGCCATGTACCGCGGCCCAGTTTACGCTCTCCATGACGTGGCCGACAAAATCCCCATGACCAACTCCCCCCTGCTGGACCCCCTCCCCAACCTGAAGATTAAGGTGTACAACTCCTCGGGCTTAGTCACGCCCCAGGACGACCTGGGAGGAGAGCTTTCCTCAAAGCTGTCGCCCAAGCTGCCGCACTGCCTCCTGGACAACAGCAACGGCACGATGGGGCGTCACGCGCAGACCCAGACTCTGCTTCGTACCAGGGACCCATCCTGCACCGCTCTGGGCTCTTTCAGCTCCCAGGGGGGTCACCTCATTGTGCCCAACTCAGGTACAGCAACAGGATCCATATTATTAAGATGAGGGGGAAAATGAAGACAACAAAGCTGAAATGTTTCCTACTTATTTCTTCAGATTAATTTTTAAAATCACGTGAATCAGCTCTAAACCAAAACATAACTTAGTTCATGATATTCTGATTAAAACAGAAGTAAATTTAAAAAACTGCCTGTCATTAAAGGACAACTAAGGAAAGCTTGTCAAAGTTAAAAACAATGATCTGTTGGTGCTTAGTAGGAGTGTCATATTATCAGTTTTTCTCAAAACAAGTACTTCAGCTTGGGTACTCGCCAATACCAAGTACCAATACTGAGTACTTACTGAGATAGAACCTATGTTAGACACTAGTTGTGTTTCCATCAACGTTTTAAATGTGCATTTTGAAGTACTGCATTAGAAAAGGTGAATTGAAACAGCAAAATTAGCAAAAACTTTCTCATTTTTACAAAAAAAAATGTTACACATGCTTTAGTGGCAAGGGAACACTTAGGATTTTCCAAAAAAAAAAAAAAAGAGTTAATGCGCAAAAGGTTCTGATGTAGAGAAAATTTACCTCAATCAGCTGTTCCTGCTATCCGAAAATTGTTACGTTTTCTCAGATATTCCCGTAACGTGGAGAGAATTACATTTCTTTTTCTATGTCTCCAGACAGCATGTAACATCACCAAAACTAGTTGATAGGACAGAACAATTACAACTTTCCCGATAGTAGCAACATGTTCCTGAAAAATTCTCTCCATCGTCCCGAGATGTGCATCCCTGCGAGTTTGTGACTTTACTTCCTGTTTACTACAGCCATGCATAACACCACCGTCTGACATAAATACACTGTCCGTAGCCTGGTTGATTCACTCCAAGCCAGTTGATAGAAACACCTCTGGTGCGTATTTCTTTTTTGGCAACATTTCAAAACTTAGCTCAAAATGTGCATTAAAATTGGTTGGAAACATGCCTAGTGGCTTTAAAAACACATTTACTTTATTTAGAACAAAGTGGCTGTCCTTCCTTGTAAGCTTATGGTCCCTCTGACTTGATAAAATTGAATATACAGCATGATACTTGAAACATTTAAAATAATTACTTTTCACTTGAAATGTAAACTGTAACAATGGAGTATTGTTACCAGTATTTGGGGTATCCATAACAGTATTAATATTGGTTCTGGGTACTGGAGCATTTTGTACTTGTAAAAATTCTAGTGTACAGATATTTGTATGTGGACACCAGCAGTGCTTAGTGTTGATAATGATAATTCAGCTGCTACTAAACCAGATTTTACTTTGATATTTGTCAAATTAAAAAGGAACAGCTATTTCTGTTTTTGTTAAGTTTAATTAGCACTGGCAGCCTTCTAGAACAGTTTTGACTTGAAAAATGAATAGGTTTTAGATTTATATCCACTAAATATTTTCTGAAAATTTCCATCAAATCTGTCTTGATGTCTTTAAAAAATGTTGCTAACAGACAAATAGAGAAGACCCAACAAGTGATCTGAAACTTTTAAATAAAATCCATTTCGATTGGACGCACTTTTTGTGTTTTTTACAATGAAACATAAGTATAAGAAACTGAATATGAAGCGTATTTTCCATATACAAAGAAACACTTCAAAAATCTGTGTTGAGCACTGAAAAGGATGGTGTTTTGTGCTCTACTTAACATAACTAAACTTTACTATCTCCACCAAAAACACACAAACAGATGGAACTTTGAAGTGATCTGCTTAGCCATATGCAACTTATCAGCGAGCCGACTGCTCACTATGACAGGAGTTGATGGATACCTGAGGTGCCTGCACCAGAAGCACTGAAGTCGAGGTGTTCTAGTTTCAGGCAGCTTACATTAGCCATGCTGTCTTCACTTCAAACAGACGCAGGCTGTAAGGATCACACCACAGATGCATGCTGACAGGCATAGACAAACTAGCTGTGACATTCAGGGATGCACAGACTTCTCACATTTCTTAAGTTTTTTTTTTTCCTTTTTCTTTATGATACCTGTAAAATGTCCTCAGCTGCTGGTTGTACTCAGCCACCTCATCATGTTACACCAGCAGAGAGAGGATGGAAAATGCATTTGATATTTGATACGTTTGTGTGTCTGGGTAATGAAATATTTTGTAGCACTGTCTGTGAGGCTGGTTAGTATTTTGCATCTTAAAACCACAATTTGTTTTTTTACAGGCTTTGCTTAGAGGCAGAGTTGCACTTTGAGAGATGTTCCCCTTTGGCAGAGTTGTTCTATACCAGCTAGTCTGTCATCTTTTTTGAAAAAAAGTTCTGTACAAGGACTTGGAGAAATGAATGAGCTATCTTAGAAACCTCCCTCCTGAGAAGGAGAAGCTATGATAGTATGCATAGGGGAAATTGAGGGATATGTTTATAAAAAAAACACATCAGAGGGACATCATTTCAAATCAATCTGAGATGGAAAAATGTAAATTATATTGGCTGCTGCCATATAGGAACGCTGTGAGGAGAGTGGAGATCATTGATTCTGCTGGAAATAAAAAAAATAATGCCACAGGAGAGAGCAGTAAAGTGTTAATTTAATCAGGAACTCAAGGTCATTACAGATACTAGAGCTCAAAATTAAATAACCATAAGATAGCATAGACATTAAAAAAACTAAATACTTTCAGTTTTTTTTTTAGTTTTAAGCTTTGTTTTTCCCTAAAGTTTGAAAACCGTGTTGTCTGAGTAAAAATAGTTTGTTTTTATCTGTTTCTGTGCTCCTCAGGAGTCAGTCTACTGATTCCAGCAGGAGCCATTCCTCAAGGCAGAGTTTATGAGATGTATGTGACCGTCCAGAGGAAGGACAATTTGAGGTACAGAGTGCTGCTTGGTCACATTAACACACACACATACACACACCCAGAAACACCATATATATATATATGTGTTTTTTTTTTCTTTGTGCACCTCTAGGCCTTCTGTGGACGATGGTCAAACTGTGCTCAGCCCTGTGGTGAGCTGTGGGCCCCCCGGGACCCTGCTGACGCGGCCCGTCATCATCACCATGCACCACTGTGCCGTGTGCGACGGCCAGCAGGACTGGCTGATCCAGCTCAAGAGCCAGTCGCAGCAGAACCAGTGGGAGGTGAGATTTGGGATTCACAGTGAAACCTGCCGTAAATTCTTTCTAAAGTCAAGTTTGAAAAATGGTCTTTAGCAGCCACTGAAGGCATTAAAGGGATTTTTATTTTAAGCTAGAAAAAAAGATTGACTCTGTCCATGGAATCCAGATACATTTGGTTGGTTGGAAGTTTTCACCCAGTGTTGAGTAAAGAGCAAAGGAGAAAGATGATATGAGTCTGGAGCTGTGGATCAAATGAAAGGGCTGAGAGGAAACGACTTCCTCAGCTTCCTTTTAAACTCTTCAAGGAGACCCTCTGCTTTAATCAGGAGCTGAAACAGTAAACCTCTAATCTCAGCCCTGATCTGTGCTTTTTACCCCGACAGTTTCCTTTTGTCTTTATTAAGATACATTTTATGTGCTGGTGTGTGGAAATGTGCATGCCTCCACTGCTTATGGGCTCCTTGATGAGTCTTTGTGATCAGAAAGGTTTCTGAAGGCAGCATTGTGTCCCTTATCTGCTTTTTATTTCTAACATTCACCACACAGACGGACACAGAAATCCTCCATTTATCCAAACATGAAACGTTTTATAGCTGCTTTCATCTTTACGATCCAGATGATGTCTCAAAATATGTAAAAGGCATATTTTAGATTATTTTCCTGCCTTTTAGAAGCAAATTTCTGCTCCTACGTTTTTTATAAACTTTTACAAACCATGCCTTTTTTTAAAACGCAAAAAAAGTCAAATAAAAAAGAAACATTTAATGGAAGTGTTTATGCAGCAACAGTGCAGTAAACAGAATGAAATGTGTTATTAAGATGAAACAATGTGGGTTTTATTGCCTAAATGCCTTTATTGCTTAAATTGATACCATTAAAATTCAAACTGTCTATACTCAGCAGAGGTAAATCCATTCGCTAGGCTCCAATTTGAGGCTCTGTGTCAACCTTTTATTAAATTGTGTCTTGAATACCAGTATATTTTTTTTGTCTTTAACTAAAGAAAGGAAAAACTGGCCCCACATGCTTTGGTGACTTTGATAAATTACTTTCAGGATATCCAATAAAGCTCAGTGTAAACTGATCTTTTTAAAGAAGAAATAACTATTGATTAAAATCTTTGACTTGTCAGATTTGCAGACGGTAAAAGTGGGCTTCAGCTTCCTTTATTGGTGCTTCTCCTCACCCCGCTGAGGTAAATCGTTGTCCTGCGGAGATGAAATACTGCTTTATGACATACTCTGTCAAAATGTGTATTCATCTTTTTAATGGAAATAGGAGGAACGAGCCGTGCTTAAGAGTTAATGCAGATATTTGTATGCAACAGAGTGCAAGGCAAATTTCATATACCCGTTTTTATTTGCAAATACATAGTAAACATACCAATTGTTTAAACTGAATAAGTGAATCTTTTTTATATAAAAAAGAATGTTAAATTTAATAGCAGCAACACATTTGAAAAAACCTGGGATGTGGAATAAGCAGCTGCAAGATCATTTTGCAACAATCTTAGTTTATTCTCAGCAGATCAGTAGGAGGACAGGGAATAACAAGAACATTTTACAGAGGCTGCAGCTCCCAGAATTAAAGATGGAGAAAAGGTTTACCCAGGTTCAAAATCTGCATGGAAAAATAGTGGAAATTTTTCAAAACAATGTTTCGCAACAGAAATTTGAAAGACTTTGTACATTCCATAATCTACAATTTAGTAATATCATCAACCATACGTTAAGAATTTGGAGAAATCTCTGAAAGTCTGTATTGGAAGCCCCTGCATTAAAGACAGGTCTGGTCTGTTATGGACATCACTGCGTGGGCTGAGAAACACGTCCACAGATTGTTGTCTGTAAATGCAGTTTACTGTGCCATCTGAAAATGCAGTTTAAAGCTCTATCCCGCAAAGATGCAGCCATATATGGACATTACTTAGAAGCACTGGGACAAAGCTCCTTTTAAATTGAATGTAGTCAAAGTGGAAATATCATACTAGAGAGGGCCTGCCTCTCTGATGGTATAGGGGTGCATTATTATCCATGGCATGAGGAGTTTGCACATCTAAAAAGGCACCAGCAAAGCTGAAAAGTGTAGACAGGTTTTAGAGCAACATACTCACTCCCATTCAGATTGATAGTGACATATACAAAATCTTGTTTTTAGACATTAAATACATTTTGTTGTGTGCTGCATAGATATCTATTCTGTGTGGGTCATATTTTTCAACCGTTCAGTTTTCTCCATTTTCTATGATGTTTTCTGAACTATTTTGTTCAAAACGAGTTGATCTGATACACACCTCAGAAAAGGGGTGAAAGGGGGCTTGTGGAGTTGCAATGTTCAGACCAAAGCATTGCAGTTCATATAAACCCCCAACTGAATGATTTAAATGTGAAAAAGAAGGATTTAAAAAACATATCTCCTTTAAAAGAAGGGGACGCTTCCCGGTGGTAAATACAGACTTATCCCAGTTTAGTTTCTTCCAAATAAACTTTATTTTTTATTCCCAAAAATGGTACAATTTCTGTATGTGTGACGATTAGAGCAGTAAGTTATATAATGAGGTTTATGTGAGACTTTAATTAATTAAAGCTTGTGTGTTTCTAAGCTTGAGCGTTTTTTCTTTTGTTTATTTTTTTTGTTTTTTGCACAAAATGTACATACAAAGCTGAGGCCTACTTATTCACTGTGTTCTAATTATCCCCCAATAAGGAGCCATGGTGCCGTCCCACAGGAGGAGTTAAAGAGTCTAATGATCTACCATAATACTGCTGTTAAATGGGCGATAGAAGAGGAATTACAACGTTTTATTGGGAGCTGTCTCTCATAATGTGTTGAATTAAAACCAGAGTGCTGCTCGCAGGAGAGTTTGTACTGCAGAAAGGATGACGGAATACAAAACTCAAGATTAGCCGAGCCAGAGAGAGGATAGATGATGTTAAAAAAAAGACAGAGAGAGGGATCTTGTCTCCTTAGAACAAAGAGTCTTAATGAAAGAGAAATATGTCCAGGCATTAGCACAGTTACAGAAATGGTCTGAACACTACCTTTCTCCATTATGTGGCATATGTAATGGCTCAGAGTCAGACAGTGTCAGACGCTGGTAAAATATGAACATTAATGTTACAAAAGGACATATTTGACTAAATAGCAGGAAGTAAATTGAAACTTGCACATTAAAATCATTTTCATTTATTCAATGTTTGCAAAAAATGAAAATTCTTACAAATTAGTGTTTACTATTATTGCTAAACAAATATATAGAGATTTGAATGTGTGTGGTTAGCTTTTTGGATGCTTAATAATTTTCATTAAATTAAATATCTAACGTCCTTTTAAAGAATCCTTAGTAATTAGTCAAATGAGACTCCTTACTAACTGGTAAGTAAGAATAATATCAGCCAGTTTGTCTATATTTTTAATTCCATCCTGTCTTTTTAGGTAAATTTCAGATTGTCATCCTGTTATCTCAGCAGTCTTAAAGTTTTTACACATTTTTTTCGAGACCAGATTTTGGTGAATTAAGTGATTTTTTTTATTTTATTTATTTTATTTTTATTTTATTTTTTGCTTCTACCAGTGAAACACTGATGGTACTACAGCACTAAAACGCATCAACTTTTGACTATAGATCTTTGCAAAAATCTGTATTTTATTTCTTCAAAATCAAATTTACCTTTGTTTAATGAATGGAGGATTCTATTTTAAACTCATTAGTCTGAAGCAGGTGCTTCCTGGGTGCACAAGACATGTTTTGGAGCTCATTTGTAGAATGTTGGAGCCAAATTTATTTTTGATTTGCTGTAAGTTCTTCTCCTAATGATATTTCCATTAAGGTCACATCACGCAGGGTGGATTAAAAGTTCAGTCTAATAAATCTACCTGGGGTTGTATTTTTTATGACACAAATGTTGAATTGGGCTATTTTAGCAGCCAAGCAATCTGTTTGTGTTTCTGAATATTTTTTTAGGTCTTTCTGATTGCACATTAACCATTTTCTGTTACCAATCAGATCTAAATCACAAGATAAACAGGGAAATAGAGCTGAAAATGCTTTGTATTTTTACAGCCTTCATCTGTGTTTGGAATATAAATTGTTTTGATTTTCTAAAGCTCGGCAGCTCCTTACTGAAAGCTTGTGGCTTCTAACTATCAGGGTAAAGTTTATTGCAGGTAGTAAATTTGGGAAACAATCAACAAGCCAATTAGACCTCATCTGGCTGCTCATTACACTTTTCATTTATATTCAAACTTTCACTAAAAATAACGATTCATTAATTCTACATTAAATGATTTATCTCGTATGTTTTGAAAATCTCATCATCCAGGTTGATTTTTAATCAGTGGGATTTTCCTGTAGAAATACAGGTTTAAAAAAACTGTATAGACGAAGAACAGAGTGTATTGAGACAAGACCACTTTTAGGGGCTGGACCAAGCCCAGAAAAAAAATAGAAACTAGTGCCCTAAAGCATGCAGTACACACAGGTAGCTAACTTAGTAGCTATGTAGCTAATAATAATAATAATAATAATAATAATAATAATAATAATAATAATAATAATAATAATAATAATAATAATATTGACTAAATCTCTGTGTGAGAGACAGGTAAAGTATTTTGGTGCATAGGCAGATTGCTAACATTAGCTAGCTAGCTTTGCTTTGTGCTTCCCTTCCAAGTGATGATAAAGGTTTGATTTATTCCCCACCGTCTCTGAATCTAAAGTTCCACATAAATTACAAGTTGCTGTACTGATTCTTCTGAATGTTAATTTACAAATATATTCTTAATGATTTATCTAACTAAACTATATTACTGAAGATTTTGCAGACATGTTTTCCCGCTCCCAGACAATCACTGCTCACTTTCTTGGAGTGCCATGTATAGATGGAGCAGCGTTGACAAAAAAATGCATAGTCACGGTTGGATTACAATCAGTACATTTTACATCTATTGAAAGCAAGGGTGTTAACAAATGAATTGGACAATATTCTGCAATTTAGTGATCTTTCCACAGTTGTGGTCTTGACTGATCTAGAAATAAAATCCAGTTAGTGTTCCAGATCAAGTCAAGAGAGAGTACAAATGTGAGTTCGAGATGAGACAGAGACCATTAAAAAGTGGTCTCGAGACCAAATGCTGGAGTATAATTTGGGAACAAGTCTCAGCTACTACCACATCAAATTTGAGCTCAACATCTGTAAAACTATCTGTGAAATAGCTTTTAGCCTTTCAGCGGCAGATGATAAAAATGAGCTTAGATGGTTCAAATCTGATGAATCTGTTGACAGAAAAAAGTTGCCAGGAAAGCTATCATTGTACAAATTGTGCCTTTTTACAATAAATGGAAACAAAAGAAAAACAAATCTTTCTCCTCATTGTCTCCTGTCTGCTCTGTAGGACGTGGTGGTGGTAGGGGAGGAGAACTTCACCACACCGTGCTACATCCAAATGGATGAGGAGGCCTGCCACGTACTGACGGAGACCCTGGGCACGTACTGCCTCGTGGGCCAGTCTCTCAGCGCCTCCACCATCAAGCGCCTCAAATTGGCCATCTTCGGTCCCGTCACCTGCCCTGCCATGGAGTATCACATCAGAGTCTACTGCCTGGACGACACGCAGGACGCGTTCAAGGTTCGTACGCCGCAGGCTGCGTGCAGCCATGTTTGCTCACGGTTACTCCAGAGAAATTAAATTGTTTGTACGCATTTAATAACGTAAGCTTTTCCATTTTGACTGAGTTGTTTGTGTGTGAGAGTGTTTTGGTGTGTCACAATAAGGGAAACAATCCCACTCCCAGAAACGCGTAGCTGCTGCTCCGATGTAATAAGCCACATGTATTCCCCCTCTCCGCTGTTGTCTCATCCCTTCAATTCTATTTAATACGCACCTATGTGGAGGGAAGATAAGGCAGAATCATTGTACCGAGGGGGGATATTGAACCCAGTTATTAAATTTGGAAATGGATAATGAGAAGTGATAGTGATCCTGCTGCAAGGACATTAAATTTGGTTTCAGATCGGCAGCTGGACAAACTGTCCTTGCAAAGCAGCAGCCCGAGTTGGAACTTTTTTGAGGTCAGCGTGCACGGTGCTGATAAGAAGGCCCGTTTGTGTGCGCAGGAAGTTCTGCAGATGGAGAAGCAGATGGGTGGGAAACTGTTGGACGAACCAAAGACCCTTAACTTTAAAGACAGCACCCACAACCTGAGACTATCCATCCACGACGTGCCCCACGTGTTGTGGAAGAGCAAACTAGTAGCCAAGTACCAGGTGAGCCCGGTCGTGCACGCCGTCACATCAACGCCCGGCGGCCATGGCAGCGGTTTGACTCACCCGTCCGTTCTCCCTGCAGGAGCTCCCCTTTCACCAAGTGTGGAGTGGGTCACAGAGGAACCTCCACTGCTGCTTTACTCTGGAGCGCTTCTCTGCCAGCACCGTGGACCTGAGCTGTAAGATCTGTGTGCGCCAGGTGGAAGGAGAAGGACAGATCTTCCAGCTTGATACGACACTCTCAGAGGTAACGTTTGATACAGTTTGCAACAGTGTGACCACATAGCAACTAACAGCACAGTATTTGAAACGTTGGGAAGCATGGGTGTGGAGGGTGCTTCAGCATCTCTTGATTAATGCATAGGAAGTGATATTCTTTCAAATGGTTATCAGTACCTTGTAAGCTGTGACATCAGTCAGAAAGCATGGAGTATAAAGAAAGGGGAAGAAGTTTTCATCCAGGCTACAATGACTAGCCTACAGCTGTGAAATATCAGCTACATCGACGACAATTAGACCTTTGTGCTTTTGCATGGCCAGTTTAGTCAGTGACCGTTTTCTCATCATTGTATCAGCAGGTTAATATACATATACTGTAGATGCTTTCTCTTAAAAATTTTAAATACCCTACATTAGCTTTTTGGTGTTGAAATAAACAGATGACACTTTTTAGTCACAAATGGATCAGAAATGCATAATTTTCTAACATATATATTTCAACATTTATTTAAAGGTTCAGAAAGTGCTTCACAATACAAAAGTTAAAAACAAATAATAACATCACAAAAAATGTCAGAAAGCCACTAGGTATTAATAGCCTACCTGAATAAAAAGATTTTAAGATTAAATTTAAAAAGGCATCTGTCGGAGCCTGAATCCCTTTTTGATTGACAGCAAAATGAGCGAATCAGCGATCTTTTAGTGTAAACATTCCGTGGGAACATTTTTTAGTTTTGTTTCTGTTCTGAGTTGAACCGGAGACTTTCCTAATCCTCTTAGCGGCATTTTCTTTGTTAAAAACGACTAGTGACAAATCGAGCTTCTATTTGTGGTGTTTTTTTTTATATATTTTTATTTTTTTATTTTTTTAAATGTATTTATTATTTTTGTACTGTACCTGCTTGTGTTTGCAGACTGACTTCTATCGCAGTTTCTGTCCACCGGGTGCTGCTGAGCCCCTCCACCCCTCATCCTTGAAAAGGAACGGAGGGTAGAATTTACGTATAAATAAACCGACACATTTTATGATGTAGGCCGAAACTGAGCTTCCCCTCCTTGAAAGACCAGCATCCACCACTGATCTTAACGTTCCTGTACCGACAAGCTACTAGAGGGGTAGGGTAGAGTAGGGTGGGGCGAGACCATGAAGAACTTTAAAAATGAACAATAAAAGTTTCAAATCAAAATAAAATTGGAGTGCTTCCCTTCAGTCCTTTTCTCTCTCTCTCTCTATCGCCTCAGGATTCTCAGAGCATCGACACGTCTCTGCTGGACCCCGCCAGTAACATCACCACGCTGGTCGGGCCGAACGCCTTTCGGATCCCCGTTTCCATCCGACAGAAGCTATGCGGCAGCCTGGATGCCCCGCAGACCAGAGGCAATGACTGGAGGATGCTGGCCCATAAACTCAACCTTGACAGGTGGTGAAGTTAATCATAGACTTAAACACTCAGGCCTCTGTGACCTGACCAAGTCAAATCAATAGTCAAATCTCTGCTGGTGTGCCCCATTTTTTTAGAAGCAGACATTAAGATTGCATGAGTACAAAAAAAAACTGTAGATAACAGATCTATTTTTAGTTTGACTGTGTTCTGCGGCTCATGTTGATAAGCATCAGCTGAATTGAGATTAATTGAGTCGGAGTGAAGTGAGACAAAGACCGACCGACAGGGAGAGAGAGAGAGAACTAAAGAGACACTCCTCTTTGCAAAAACGTCACCCACGTGTCTTTGATAGTGTGGTGTGTGTGATGGAGGTACAGTGTGCAGCCATTTATAAGATCCCAGCTCAGCAGGACGGCCTTATCGCAGGCAGCAGCTGCAGATTGACGAGACCGCTTACTGAGTGCAGCGTGAAGGGGGGACGACTCAAACTAACCTCTCCCTCTCAGCTCAGACTGATTATACACCTCAGGACTGTTTGCAGAACACACCACTTTATGTACGCTCAACTTTTGCATCAGAGAAATTTGAAACTTAACGCTCACGAAAACAAGTATTATTCATTTCAAACGCAACCCACATCGTTGCTCTGTGATGTAGTAAATCACAGGGAAAACACTCTATAATTCGGATATAGCTGTCCCTTAAAATGTGGACTCAAAAGAAAAACAGACAAAATCCACATCCTGGAGCTGCAGTTTATGATTTTCAGCGAGTAATCCTTCTGAGAGAGCAATATCTCTAAAATATTCGAGAGATTCTATCGATGGAGGCTCAGCAGAGAAGCGTGGGGGTTTTAGGGTCTTATGGGCAGCAGTTAAACCTGCAAATAGGATTTTCCAACAGATTATCTGCTGTTTTCTCTGAGGTTCAAGATGTTGTTGAATAGAAATAAATATGGCGGCTCAGGAGCTGCTTCTCCCACAGCTGTTTAAAGATGTTTGGAGGATGAAGGAAGCTAATCACAAAAGGTTTGTTTTTACCTGAGTGTGCTAAAAATCTGATTAAAACAAAAAAAAAAACAGTAGCATAAAAGTCGGCAAAGACCTGTGATGTTTTTAGGTTTAATCATACAGCAGAACATTGAAAAACTTGAAACTTCAACAAGTGTTCATTTTTTTAGACCCCAAGCTTATTTTAATTTAAAACTATAAAACAGATTGGATTCTTTCTTTTCTTTTCTTTTTTTCTTCTTCTGATATCTGGTGAAAAACAGTTGCCTTAAGTTCTCAGCAGCTTCATTTAAAATGTTCAGAATTATAATTAAAAATGACTTGCAGGCAGACCTTGAGAGAAGTTGAATGTTTTAATAATTAAAATAAATCAAAGATTGATTGATCAGAGTATTTAACTGATGAAATAAGGGTTTTAGAAAATAAGGAAATTAAGTCGGCTTAACTGATCAGGAGGACAAACTGGAGTTAATGATCATTTGTATTGTTTTGCTTAGATATTAACCCTTTGTTTTATCTTAAGCGTTTTAAATTAAACTGAAACATTTTATTGGACGTTTGCTTAAAAATACAGAGGAAAACGTAAATAAAAAAATAATAATTAAGTGGATTTTTATTGATTTTTTTAAAATAAACTAAGAAGCCAAATGCTTTGAAGCTTTGTTTTAATTAGAAGTGCTGGTTTATAATCAGCAGCTCAGGATTTTATTCCAAATTTACCTAAATTAACCTAGTTTTTTTTTTTGTCTTAATTTTTTTCTGTCTTAATTACAGAGAAAGTCTTTTGAAAAGCAGAATCTTGGTTCACTGACTGCAGTCAGAAGGAGGCACTTACTTTCTAAAATAAGAAATTAATACCTTTCACCAAAGGTGGGCAATAAAATTTTAGCCAAATGGATATAACTTAATTTTAAAAAAACGAGCTATTATTCAGTCATTCACAATGCAAGTATTATTCATTGCTTAATTATTTTCTTAAAACTGTAGCGTTAAATGTTGGAGTCAACCCTGTTTGTCTGTTAGCTAAATAACTCATTACCCACTGGGCAGATTTTAATGAAACTTTCAGAAAGCAATCCTTGGCTGCACATTTATGACTGTTTACCTTTTGGAGTCAATCCAATTAAAATTAGCTGCCACAGTTAATCAAACTTATCCAACACAAAAATGTCTACAATTCAGTCATTTTTCAAGATGTTGAGGTAAAATTTTATGTGGTGGTAGCTGAGAGTCGTTCATGATCCGTATTCAAGAGATTGTTCATAATGTTATTTTCAACATGTAATTCTAGGCCTTTTGTGTGAATCTCTTCTCTGTTTTGTCCCAACTCTTCATGTAGGTATCTGAACTACTTCGCCACCAAATCCAGTCCCACGGGAGTGATTCTAGATCTGTGGGAGGCCCAGCATTTTCCTGACGGCAACCTCAGTCGCCTCGCTCAGGTACTGGAAGAGATGGGACGCCACGACAGCCTTGTTCCGGGTGTGACCGAGCACTGACCCCGCCCACCCCACGGCCCGCAGGAAGAAAGTCATGCTAAAGGGAGGAACTCGGGAGGGACAAAACGCGGGATGGTCACTTGGATATCCGCGATAAATTGCTCTCGCTCAAAACCCCATAAATGCTGCCTGAACGCGCACTCGCAGGAGGAAGGGTAACGCAACGAGCCAGGTCTCACTCAGCCATGACCCAGTTAAACGTTGGCAACAAAGACTGCAAAAACACGGAGAGTAAACAAGAATCTTTGCCAGTCACTTCTCTGGCTCTTCCTCCCTCTCTCTGGTACTTCGTTTTGATATTTCTGGCTCTAGTTTCCTTGGAAACAGCTGTCCGTTTCTTTGGATGGACTGTGCGGATGTGGATGATCCCCCCCACCCATAGTACACAAGTGACACATGATGAGAGGTCAATGGATCAAAGGAGGAAGACTTGGATCAGAGGCGCTCTCTGAAATCAGTTTCCATAGCAACTCCATGGAGAAGTCATGTGTTCCTTGATGACTTAGTATATAATAATATGCCTATTTATACATCTCTTTTTAAATTTTTGTTCTGCCTATTAATGAATACAAAGTCCTCTCATTTAGTTCTGTTTGACTGTGTCATAGCACCACCTGGTGGATATCTGGTGCAAAAACAACTCATCCTGTCAAACACGTCAGTCCAGAAGGAAACACTTTTTTTGTTTTATTGTATCTGCATTTTAATTATGTTATCCATTATTATAGATTTTGGGGTATTGCTGCTTTATTTTATTGCCTGTTTTAATATGTTTTTCTGAGTTTTATTGAAGCTAATTCAGCTTGTTTTATACAGTTTAGAGGGCTTACTTTTTTCACGAATCTGTTATCCGGTTATTTAGATGGAAAAACATAAAATATTAAATTTTATAATTTGCTATTTACAAAACAGACCCCAATTTAAAAAAAGATGCCGTGATAAAAAAGTATATTTTTGTAGAGCCAATGCAACTGCAAAGAGCTGCTTTCTACCAAATAATTGACACCCGAGGTTAAATTAATTAATGAAGTTATTCAGTTAAATTTTAGCTTTTGGATAAAAGCTGAAACTTTGACTCAGACTTTGATGTTTGTACATCCAGTGACAGAAGCCATCGATGTGTGATGATATCCATCATGTGTATAATAATTGGTGACAGCTATAAACGCGACATTCCTTTAATGAAGCAGCACTTGAAAGGCTTTTTTCTTTAATGTTTGTTCCAGGTTTTTGTAACGCTGTCTATGCAAACTTTGCATCCTTTCAGAACAATCTTTCCATCCTCAGTGGTCTAGCCTTTGCATTCCCTCGTCATTCTTCAGCTTCATAACTATTATTGTTGTGTATAGTGAGAATGTAGCCCGTCTATTTCTGGCACTCACGTGCCTCGACACAGCTTGTGTTTCATCTGTCGAGTTATTGTACAAAATGTAAGAAAGAATTTTTAAGGACTGATAATAAATTATATTTATATGCAACAATAAAAAAAAAAGTTGGAGCACGCCTGTTTGAATTGTGCAAATGTAACACTACGTTTGTTTCACTGGGGAATGTTATCTAAAATGATTTAAAACACAGGCGAGACTTCCTGTCTGAACGTTTGTGAGATTTCGTGTGATTTTATGAGATCTCGTGAGATTTCCCGTCTATCTGAATGTTTGCGTGTGGTGTGTTGTCTTTTCTGTGTGGCAGGACCAAACCTGTATACCTATGATTTTTTTTATCCTCATGTGTGGGGTCTTAGTTTTTGAAAAATCGTCTGACAATTTTAAAATCTTGCCTTGAACCATTCATAAACCACAGAGTCCTGGCCTGATGATGTTGCTCTTCTGTGCTGGGCCATCCTTTCGGACAGTGGCCGCTTTGTTCACCTGATGTATAGTTTTTTTCAGTTATAAAGGAGTAGAGGAAGCCATCTTTGTATGTGAACAACAAGTTTTGGGTGTCACCGCTAAAAAGTTTATCCACCACATGAAGGCACTTTTTATAAGGCTGAGTTTACCTGAATCTCCTCAGACTGAAGATGACCTGACTCAACCTTGATGGATTTTTCTTCCTGAATTATTAAGATGCATAATTACACAGAAAAAAGAAACTCTGAAAACCTGACATTTTCAACCAAATGTTTTTATTTTGCAACAAATATACTTAAAAAATACATTAACCATAACTATATAAAGCCATAAAAAATCTATATTTTCTATTTCTCAGGAAATAATGCAGACTTGCTCTGAACATAAAAATAATAATTTAGTCCTGTGATAGACTTGTGACCTGTCCAGGGTCTACCCCACCTTTTACACAATGACTCTGGAGATGGGGACCAGCTCCACTGTGACCCTGCACAGAAAAAGCCTGTGAAAAAAAAATGGATGGACAGATGCATAATAATTTAACTATGAGGTCAGTAAGCTTAAATCTGAGCTTCTTTGAATTAGATCTTCACAAATCTGAGTGAACTCTTCATGCATTGAGTCACAGAATAAAAACAAAAACCACACCAAGGCGGTTGTGACAGTACAAAATACTGCTCATATAATACTGCTACATGGCGTTAGAGAAGCAGAGCAGGAGTTCCCTTTGTTAGGACCTGAGCAAAGGGATTTTAGCTCTCCTGCAGGGCGTTCCTCACCACTTGTCCACCTGGACGGTGTGGACCTGGGGAACCATTCAGCTTTCACAGAAAGCACAATGAAAAACACACTGACACTGGACTGGCAGCTCTCCTGTGAGTTTCCTTTCTCTGTTCATTCAGTCCCTTCCTCTGCTGGTCAGATGTGCCAGCGGCTGTGAAAAGTCTCTAAGTGAGGAGATCATCTCTCCAGACTCTCTGTCACAGTTTTATGTCTTGGCTCTCTAACATCTTTGCCAGAGTCTTCTTCACCCGCAGGGATGTGAGGCGACAGGCCGGGTTGTGGAACCAGCACTCTGACATCAGCTTCCCCATCTGTCGTAGACACTAAATAAAAACACACGCAGCCGTATACATGAGGAAACAACTGAAATAATTAATTACAATGTAACACATAGATCAGCAGGAGGTAGAGAGAACTGCACAGACATTTACTTTGCAACCCATTTATTTAAGTAATGTAGCGTTAATGGCATCAAAGCACATTAGAAAATTCTGATTCTTGTCCCACTTGCTCCCTGAGCCATACTTAGCCTATAAGACAGATTTAAAAGAGACCTGCTTTTAAATCCTTCTTTATGATTAATTAATCATTCAGTTAGGGTCTTTATAAAATGGAACTCCAATACTTTGGTTTGAGTTCCTCATTATAACTCCACAAGCCCCTCTTTCACCCCTTTTCTGAGCTGTGTCTCAGATCAACTCGTTTTGAGGCTGTCCCTTTAAATACAAATGAGAAGTTTCAAACCCCGCCTCCCTCCAGCTTCCAGAGCGATTCATTCTAGTTTGATAGAGGGCTTTACAACTGCACAGAAACTTTTAAATCACAAACTAATTAAAAGATGTCAACAAGGAAAGACTTGTCCATCCAGCCCTGCATGTTGGAGCCAGAGTCTGACCCAGAGCCAGAGGAGAATGGAGACCACCAAATTGTAATTGATAAGTCTAGACCTTAATTGGCAGTTCTGTCATAGAAAACAGATAAAACAGAATGGACTGAAATTTTTGACCCAAACAGAATAGAAAAATATCTATGCAGCATCTGGAGAGACTAAATAAAACTTGTCTGCACTCCTAAAGTACACAAAAATATAAAAGTGGATTTTCCCTTTAATGACAACAGATGGCAAATTAAAGAAAAATCCTTGACCCTTTACAGAAAGCAAAGAGTTATATCAGATCAACATGTCTCCTTAGAAGTAAATTCATGGCAAATCAATTCCAAATAGTTAAGAGTGATTAATTTTAATGTATGATAAAAAAAAGTCTGGATTGAATGGTTTATTAAGCATCAAATGAATATAAGGTGTGTGTTATGACCTATCTATGGAGTCTTCAAATATCTGTATCATCATGAGTAGTGGTTTTATATCTTCCAATATTTCAATCTCTTTTTTTAATCTGTCATTTGCACTTAAAGAGAGGTTTGAAATCTTCAGTACAATAAATAACGATAAATAGTTTAATTTGATTACATCCATGGTAAGGACAATTTTTGATTATAAAAAATGAGCAATGTGCCTCCTCAGAGTTCTTTCTCAATGTGAGTTTATTCCCTGATGTTTTCCATCATCTGCAGTCAGCATCTTAAAACTGCAGCACCAGATTATCTGCTTGTAATCACAGTAGTCTGACACATTAAAAAAGAAAGGCTTGCTACGGAGGGGAGGAAAATGCATTCTAATTTAGGTTTTTTGATGCCAAAGAATTGGAGAAAAGAGGCTAAAACGTGACTAAGTTGATGATTCAGTGTATTACTCCTCCTCTACATTTCTCAACATCCAAATCCTAAAACATCCTCATCCAGCAAGATCCAGATCTACATCATCACGCTGACACTAGAGTTTTCACAGAATTTTGATTTTCTCACTGTGAGACATGATTGTAACCGAGAATGAGTTTCAAACCAGGTGAAATAAAAGGATCATAAATAAATAAATACCTCATCAGTGTTCCAGTGGTTTGCAATCGAAGGTCTTAGTTTTTTAATGCAGACAACCTCCCTCATGTCCTCATATGAAGGGTCGGAGAGCACCAGGTCATGATAGGGCAGCTGGTACTCATCTACAGTGCCTGTAGGACATAGAAAAAGCTCAGGCATTAGTAACTAACAAATTATCCAAATATATTCGGATAGAAAACAACTACATTTCTCTGACCTCCTGAGATACACCGCCGAGCCATTTCCCAAAGAATAAGACCAAAACTATACATGTCAGCCTTGATAAAGGACTGGAAGGTGCTCCTGTTCAAAGTCTCATCCAACACTTCAGGTGGCATATAACGCTTCGTTCCAACTCTTAGATTCGAAGGAATATCTACTTCGTTGGTATCACTAAAAGAAATAAAAACAAATCATGCTATCTGCATGTTTCAGGTGCTGCTAACGATTCATCTTTGACTGAATTACCTGTTAAATTTGACAGCAAGCCCCAGGTCGGCTATACAGCAGAAGCCGTTCTTTTTAACCAAGACGTTCTTGCTCTTTAGGTCTCTGTGTGCGATGGCGGGTTTGCCCTGAGTGCCATAGATCTCTGTATGCAGGTGGCAGAGGCCTGAAATGGATGAGTATGCCAGCTTCAGCAGGGCCTTGATGTCTAAGGTGTTGGACTTGAGGTAGTCATACAGGGACCCGTTCTCGTGGTAGTCTGTGATTAGGTAGAGCTGAGTCCACGATCCAGTGCCTTTAATGTCCGCTGCTATGAATCCTGGAGATCAGACGGCAGAATACGGGCACAAACTAAATTAAAAGGTCAAGTGGTCTTCCAAAGAATACATATGAGCCACCACCTTCATATCAGAGACAAAGCATGGAGTTATACAGCTGCTCTGTTCTTACCCAGGATGTTATCATGCCTCATCAGGAAGGTCTGATAAATTTCTGTCTCTCTGAACCAACTCTCCTCCTCAGTGGTAAAGAAAACTTTGACAGCCACTTTTTCCTCTCTCCATTTGCCCATCCAGACTTCTCCGTATCTCCCCTTGCCGACTTGTTTGACCATCTGAATCTGCCTGGCAATGGTGCGCTGAACCTGGTGACAAAATATGATTTTAAAAAAATTATGATTTGATTTCTTCACAAGTCTTATAAAAATGATTGTGTTTCTGCTTTGTGAAGAATTTTCGACTGCCCAGACTTGTGTACTGGATATCTGTATCTGTTCTGGTATACCAGCAGAGGGAGTCCTGATCCAGACCCAGACCCGATGCTGCGGGAATGCTCAATCAGGTCCTTCAGAGACTCCCCAGGAGGAATGTAGCTCTCATCCTGCTCAAGATCAATACTATAGGGCGGCTGTGACGTCGGACGTTTATATCTAACAGAAATATTGGATTAGTGAACAGTAAGAAACACGTATTGTAATTATAAGAGGCATTTCTTACCTTAAGTAGCAGAAGACGAGAATAAATCCAAGGATGCTGAAAATGATGAGGGAAATGAAGAGTGCTATGTACTGGATACTGCTGTCCACATATTCTGAAAGAATACATATAAATCAAAAATATTTTAAAAACTTCTTGATCTAATTACAGAGAAGAGTCAGTAAAATTCTAACTAAAGAATCTGTGATGTTGCTCAGTGTTTCCACTGTAACTCAAGCATCTTTTAATTGTTATAGACAGAAACTAGCTCGTCCCCTCTGATTTGCCTCTTTCTGGCCTGCAACCCCTCGCTCTCGCAGCACGCTATCGATCACATCCCGTTCCTGACTCCCACAGATCGGGTGTCCCAGTGACATCACTGCAGAAACCCCAGAGGTCTGGGGCAGCTCTGGTGCTCTAGTTTTTCTGCCTCACTTCTGTCAATCAGAGACACACAAACTCGTGCTGGAACTGCATGAGATGAGCGCTCACACAGCAGGACAAAAAGAACAAAGTAAAACTGCTGTTTTTTTCTCTTTCGACTGCTTTCTTCGGCAGGGGTTGCCATGAATAGTTTTGTAAATGTTTCATGCTGGATGGTCTTTCTGAGGCAACCTGGGCTCGAACCTATGGCCTCAGAACTGTAGCCCTGATCAAACTGCTCCAACACCAAATTTTAGCTCTATTTCTGTAAATGTGATGGAGGTAAAGCCATTTATTCTCTTTTTCAGTTGGCTGTGGTGGCCATCTTGAATCGGATTGACTCCAGAAGTTAATCAATTAAATGCAAATATACATTCAGTTATTACTTTCTAAGAGCTTCATTAAAATTTTTGAGGTGGTTTATGGAATATTTTGCTAACACAACAAACACACACAGGTGAAGACATTAAAGCACTTTTGCCTTTGGAAGGAGGATGTAATGACCTGTGTGCAAAGTCACTGATTCAAGTTTGACATTGCAGCAGCATTTAATTTTCTAGGTTTCATGTACAATAATAAAGCTGCTAGTAACATTTTTTGTCATGTTTTGTTGTACCGATTACTTGTGTCCAAGTATCACAGAGATAGCTAACTCCAATGTTAGCCAAAAATCATAAAAAAAACAACCTTCTATGATACCGGGTTAGCCAAAAACAGAACGATGTGTGTGTCAGTTTGCTGTGGAGTGACAGACGGACATATATCTCCCATCCATCCTGAGGCAAGAAACTCAAGCAGGCCCTGGGGAGAGGCTGTCCTTTTCATTACAGAGTGAGAAAACAAGCCAAGTCTGTAAGTCTCTGTTTCACCTGCCCCTCCTGAGAAGCATGAGCCAATTCACTGCAGCACCACTTTGTGGTTTGTAACAATTTAAAATGTCACCACCCATCACTGGCCCAGCGTGGCCCAGGTGAGCCCATGCTAAAAGCCACGTGTGCTTTAAAGGGTGGCAGGTTTTCATTGTGGGAAGCAAAGTACCTGAAGTGACCAGTGGAGGAATGGTGGGATGCAGGTTTCTGTTGCAGTAGTCCTGATCTGTGCAACACTCCAGAACTCGCCGTAAGCGTGCAGTCCATGTGTCCTTCCAAACACATTAAAAAATAGGAAAATATTTAGATTTCAAAATACAACTGATGAAAACAGATGGATCATTTATGCTTACAGCTGCAGCAAACCTCTTAAATAGTTTTTTTTTTCTGAGACAGTTGGCTGGATAAGTCTGACCAAAACTGAACCAATGGCAGGTCATAAGGACTTAATAGCACCTCGTTAAAAAAGCTTTCATCAAGGCAGAAATACACGAGTGTACACATGTGACTTACTCTGCACTGAAACTGTGAGCCAGCCAGAGCCAAACAGCCTGCAGAAAGTAAAGCCTGACCCCCATCCTGTTTTGTTACCATGGTGAAGCAGAAACCAGTGGTCCTGGCAAAAAGAAAATGCACAAAAACAACACATTAATCACAATCATCTTCAGTGATACAAATGTTGCATTTATTGTGCACTAAATCAGGCTGCAGTAGCTGAATCGACACTAAATCAGTTCAAAATCATAATAAAACATATTTATTATAGTTTAGGAAGTTAAAACTAAATAAGTTATAAGAACATAAACGTGGAAGTTATACCTATTACTTTTTTTATCATTAAACTTTAACTACTACAAATGTCCATTCATGAAGAATGACTATATGACTAAATATTACATTTTCACATGTTTTGCTGCAAAAACCAAGAACTTGGAAGAAATTTTGGACTTAGGATTCATTGCAGACACGATCATTTATAAAAAAAAAATTACATCAGTTTATGACCTAATAAGAACTATAATGTCTTTAAAGTATGTGTGTGTATGTTTTCTGTATTAAAATACTGTATTACATTTTATTTGCCTTCATCTGTGCCAGACAAACTTTTGCTCTTTGCTTTAATCTTTCAACCAAATCTGGACTGGCTAATGGAGGTATTAATGAGCTTTGCCTCAAGAGGTTTGAGGGATTCCATCATGCAGCTAAAGCAAACATTTGTGTACAGATCAACTAATTAAATGCATACTTAGCTAATTACTTTGAATGAGTCTTTCAGCAGGCTCAGGGCAGTGTTATTTCTCACTCTGTGTGTGTGTGAGCAGGATGGTGTGTGCACTTCAACGTACACGCATGTGTTGTTGACGGAGCCTTCGGGGCACTGGGGGTAGCAGTGGCACCGGAGCTTTTTCTGAACTGAAACCGTGGCGATGCTGCTGGTTTCCTCCACTTGTCGCTCCGATCCCTCCTTCCAACCGCTCCTCAGTAACATGGTGTCCAACATGTTGGCTGGACGGGAAACACAGTGAGAGTGATCAGATGTGATACCAAGTCAGACCAGAACTGCCAATAGAAGAGCACTTAAACAATTGAATGTGATTTTTTTTTCTAGAACTACCTGCATTCAAGCCTTTGTCCGTGTATTTATTGCAAGGCAGAGTAAATGTGAAAACGTGAATGTGCTGCTAAAAGCAACATTGCTGTTCTAAACTTCTGTTGAGTATAAAAAAACTCATTTATCTCTGCAGCAATCAGACTTCTTAATATCTGAGATCTTGTGTGTGTGTGTGCGTGTGTGTGTGTGTGCGTGCGTGCGTGCGTGCGTGTGTATGAATGTGATTTCGTTTTATATCCATGGTGCAAAAAATTGCTCCTTGGAGATAATAAAGATTCTTGAGCTTGGTATGCAAAAAACAAAAAGAGAAGAGAAGAGAAGAGAAGAGAAGAGAAGAGAAGAGAAGAGAAGAGAAGAGAAGAGAAGAGAAGAGAAGAGAAAAGAGAAGAGAAGAGAAGAGAAGAGAAGAGAAGAGAAGAGAAGAGAAGAGAAGAGAAGAGAAGAGAAGAGAAGAGAACCCAAAAGGTTTTTGCTTTTGAGTACATCAAATCAAGTCGCCCCCAAAAATAATTTTACTAATAATTTACTTAAGAAATGTATAATATGAAAAAAATAACTTAAATGAAGAACTTAGAAAATACGTAAAACATGGAACTGTCCAAACAATTTGACAGAAGACTTGCAACAAGTTTATTCCTAAAAGGGAAAAATGATTAACCATCACAGTCAAACTGATTAGGATGTAAAGAAACAATGAAACTCTTGTTTTTCAGACAATTTTCTGACTGCTGGTTTGAGCTCAGTTTTGTCTGTGCAAAACAGAAGATAAGTGGCAGCAAAGGAAAGAGCTCTAAAGAAACAAGGACCAATGATAATCAAACCTCAGGAAAATGATATCAAATGGCAAACACATTTCTAATATTCACAGTGAGGGGATGTGCTTCAGAAGTGATTTTGTGTTTTGAGGAATAAAATTTGCTACATCATACCAAATAGCAACTGTTTGAAATGCAAACTTGCAAATGTGTCATCATACAAAACCAGCCTTGCCATTCATTATTCTGCCTGCACACTGAATACAATCCAAAAATCAATAACATACAGGCTGATGTTGTAAACTAATGAAGAATTGTATTACAACAGTCTTATACAATATGTGCAAAACTCTGTTTGCACATTAATAAAATGTGATAAAATATTTACACTTGTTAAAGTGCATGAGCTAAAAATCATTAAACGTGCACTAAGATGAAAAATGTAATTATTAGTTACAAAAATATCGTCTTTAGGTGTGAATGCTCCCTTCCGCTCTACAAAACGTAACTGAAGGAGCATGTAGTCTTCCTGTGAGTCAAACCAGATCTGACAGCAGCTCATCCCTGAGGAGTTTTGTGGTCAGGAAGCTGAACAGTTTTGCGCCATACTAGATGGATGTCTTCCTCTCACTGTACGTCTTGGTTTCACTCACTCAGCCACTCTTCTATACACCACTTTTTTTCCCCTCCGTGTGATTTGAAGTCTTACAGAGAAGGAAGAACAAACCTCTCAGCATTTCATCTGCATTGAACATTCTGAGTTTTTTTTTGTTGTTGTTTGTTTGTTTATAAGGCTGTTGAAATGGCCATTTAAGTTGAAAAGATCACAATAGGATTTTTGGAAGGTTGCACATTTGGTCCATGAGTCAGTCAAGACCATGAAAAGCCTCCCCTGGCAGCTTTTATTCTAAAAGGTGTAAATAGATCTAAGCAACCAAAAACCTGAGCAGCCATTAGAAACGAGACATGGGTAGTCCTCTGGAGTAATATGTGATGAAAAGGCTAAATCAAAGAGCAGTATAAACAGACCAAACGGTGCTTAAATAATACTCAGTGTGTCCTTTTAACCAAACCTGTGTTGCTGTTTCAGCTGGAGAGGAAGTGTGTGGATGTGTTTAGATCCTCCCTCAGTGGCCTTGGTTTCTCTATCACTTCTGCTCAGAATGTACAATTAGGAAAAAAAAAAGGTTTGGGGAATTTGTGAGTCATTCATTCATAATGTAACTCATTTTTATTTGAATATCATCATAGTGGGCACTACAGGAGACAGATTTAGCTCTCCTGCAATCCTCTATGGAAAAGTGGGTAAAGAAAATAGAAAGAAGTGATCAAGAAATAAGAAAGTGTGGGAATCAATCATTTTGAAGAAAAATCTAACAGAAGGGTTGATAACAGCACTGACTGGGAAAATGGAAAGATTTTGTTTATTTGGTTTTGTATGAGAAATGAAGGACTTGTTGCTTAGTCCAGTGAAGGTATAACATTAGATGATCAAATGTGGTTTAAGACCTAAATAAAAAAATCAATATTAAAATATTAATACAATTAGGTTGCTTGTTTCGTCTTTCAGTATTAAAATAGAAAATTTTTAAAACAACCAAAGTTTGACATTTCAAAATCAGTACTCCCAACAATTTCTTATCTGTCTTATCTATGCACATGAAAACTTGCAAGCAAACATGCTTCATCTTCTCTCTCTAGTCACACGTTCACACACCCATAAATTTGCTGTCTCTGCATCGCGGCGCGCTCAAGGCCACCCCGAAATCTGATATACACCAACCACGCATTCCATAGGTTTCTCCTCGACAAAGACACAAAGATCACACACACAAACACGCAACACCCACTGAGAAATTGGGAGTGAATAACAGGGAGATATTCGCAGAACCTTTGATGACAAGCTCATCACCATCAGCAGTTCGGCATCTGTGGAAACGTCTACACTGGATTCAGCTTCGTGGGGTTTCTCTGAAGCAGTGGCACAAGTGCATCTGAAATTTCTGGTTTCTTATCTTCTTTTATTAGTAAAAGTCTGAGCATAAAATATCATTTCGCTTAGTAATACCTAACTCATTCATGGAAACAGAGGCTATGTGTGTGTGGAGCTGCCTAAACACTTGCTGGTGTAGGAATTACTCCATGAAGATTAGAGCCAGCCTAAAGTTCATAAAATAATCCAGCCAGATCTTGCAGAAGGAAATCAGGAAATTATGAAATACCCCTCTGGTCATGAATGTGAAAAGAACTTGTGGCCTGAACAGATTTCTCAAAATAAAGTAATTTATTTTTAGATATATGAACAGAATAAACATACAAACATTTCTTAAAATTATTATATGAATAAAAACACAAGCTATATTAACGGCATAAAATTCCACTCAGAGTTGACAAAAACAGTAAATTTCAGGTGTTGCAATTTACTGGCATTCTACTTGACTAAGTTTCTTAAGTAAATAAGAGAGTATAAAAGGTAATAAAAGGTTTAAGAAATAGGAGGAAAAGAGAATTAGTAATTTTGCACTGTTCTTTAAATCAGGACCAGAACCAACAAACAGCTGTCTGACTGACACCTCCGGGGGCTAGACTTTCTCCGACGTTTTATCTCAAACTCTTTGTCTACCTTTGATGTCTTGATGAAGACTCCACGCAGGTGGACGGTTTAGAGAGAGATCGGCACACAGTCCGCCCAGATGGACAATGTCCGTCATTGACAGTCGTGGGGTTGAGAAGACGCCTCGTCTCACCCAGCGAAGCCAGTGGCTTCAGGCTCGGTCTCTCAGAACAGTCGTTTCTTTTCTCGGCATATTAGTCATCCAGACTCCACAGGCAGGTGCCTGCCACAGGCACACTCAGGGACCCACCGACAGGACCATCCGCTCAAGCCAACAGACAACGAACAACTCATTAACTGTTTAGAACAGAAAGTTAGCTTGAGAGGGAAGTCAGTGAGAAAGGTGGGAGGTGGGAAAGAAAACAAAGCTGTTTTCTCACCAGCTGCAAGTTCTTTATCAGCAGAGAGAACCTTGAAAGTCTGGCAAAAGGCAGACTTACTGTCTTTCTTAGAAATCACACCACACTTTGCACAAATGGACTAATAGTGAATATTAATAGTACACAATTATTAATCTTTAAACCAACTAAGAAGAATGATTAAACCATGACTAATAATAGTACTAAGAAAAAGCAAAATAAAACACATTTCACTCATTTTCTTTTCACTGTTACACTCTAAAATAAAGAGAGATATGCAAAGATTAAATCAATAAAACTTTGATTATATTGATTGAAACCTCTAATAGAAGATTAAATGAGATAACATATAGAACCTGTTGTTCTATTCACTTAAAGAAAATAAAAACACTTTAAAATGATTTTCTTCTTATAAGTGTAAAAAAAATAAAATCAAAGACAAAGAAAAAAACAATAGAAAAGTTTTTTTTCACCAGGGTTACCTCTACACTGGTACAAAGCACCACCCATTTGTACAAAGCTCCTCCCTGGATCCCAGTCTGCAGCCAAGCTCCCGCCCCACAGAGCACCCCTCCCCGGAAGCATTGTTGTGAAGACGTGCTGAAGTGGGAGTGTCCGAAACGGTAGGAGGTTCTTGAAGAGACAGAGGCCAATTTCAAGGCATTTAGGTAGACTACGATGCAAAGTCAAATTTGTTTTTGATATACACAGCATTTTCAGAACAACTGAAGGTAGCATAGTAACTTGATTATGGTAGAGAACTGAACTATCTGCCTGGAAGATACATACATAATGACCCTCTTTTAAATAAGTAAGTACACTTTATTTCTAAGCACGTTTCACAGACACAAACATCACAAAATGCTTCACACAGATCAAATAAACTAAAACAATAAAAACAGAGAACAGGTATAATCAAGAACAGTTTCAAGAAACAGAAAACAAAACATAAAACCTGTTTGAATAAAAATGTCTTCAAATGTTTCAGTGGAGTCTGAGCAGTGAAGCAGTGGGAAATGCATGGTCACCATGGGTTCGAGACACTAACAGCAGCATTTACAACCAACAGAGTTAGTCCAAATATTGAATGGGAAATACGAGATTTTCAAACATGATATAAACTTTTGTTTTATTCTTCATCTCCTAATGTATTGTCTTGTAATTGA